AAATTAAGTCAGAATGCTATTGTAAATAATGAAATTATTTCCTTGAAACGTTTCAGCAATGGTTCAACAAAACGTTACTCGTGAATCATTTATTGTGAAACATATAGTGTAGATATCTGAAACGTTTTGAGACTTAAATATACGTTTTCAAAGCAATATATTGTTTAGCAAGATTTGCCGTATAATTATGAAGATTTCCTATCACCTTGAATGAGTTAGTTTAGGGGTCAAAATATAAGAAATTAGACATTAAGACTTTGCATTTGATCATGCTTTTAGTATAACCCATCCTTATTATCTACATTCTCCTGCAGTCAACCGTTCTACATCCCATTCCTAATCACGTGATAGTGATTTAGTTTCAAATGAATGCATCAAATAAACGGGGGCAATCCAATAAAATATTCAACTACAAAATTACAGCGTCTCGCTACATGTCGCTACAATTTCCGTACGGCCTAGCTAATAAGGACGAAAATACTATAGCGAGTGATTTTCAATAACTGTCCTATGTCTAAGGCGAATCCTTAAGCATTTTTAAGATAAAATGTTCATACAGACTTGGACCTGCAATAAGAAACTTAACGACGAGCTGACATGGTGTTAAAGAATTAAGTTTAACTTTAGTTTTTTCTAAGTAATTTTTGATATGAAATCAATATTTTGACAAACTTTGTATTGGGATTTCATAACATGAGAAACTTAAATTTGATCGGCGGTTTGCTCTTACATGTACAGGACGCGACCTATATGTCTGTCTCGCTTTACAATAATTATAACTTTCTCGCGCAGGCTTATATGACATCTGTTCAGTACAGATCGGGTTCTGGTTTCTTGTTTAAGTTAATTTCGGCTCCAAAATCTATATAATACAACGAACGAGAACAAAGATAGACGCTACTCTATCTTGGAATCTCATTATATTTTTCCTTGCTTGTTTTATTCCACAAGATAGAGGATGTGCAACCGATCCACTCCTTCATACTGTACATTATAGATACAACTATAATAAGTAAGTAGTAAGTAAATACATAAAAATTGAAATCAAGAGAATACTGAATGGAACAACAAGGAAATGAGGACTCCCATAAAAAAATTAATTTAATCGAAGTATTTTTGAACAGTATTCTTTTACTGAGTTTTCTGGCTTGAACGTTTTTTGAAAAATTTGTTTGTTAATATTTGTCGTTGTTGCCGCCTTCCTTACAAAAATTGATTTGCCGGCACGCTTTTTAATACTTGAGCAAGCCTGTATAATTCGGGATTAAACTTTTTCTTGTTTTTTGTCCACTTTAGAGGAATTTAAGAAAAAATCAATTTTCTTAAGAAAATTTGTGCTCATTACTTATTTTTAAAACTTTTTGCTCTGAATCTGTATGTCTGAAAAAGGCTTAATCCATTTAATGGCTTAATGAAGAACCTGATGATTTCGCTTCCATGTCGTGTGGGTCAGGGTCAAATTCAGAATTGGAAGAATTGCACTTTTTTAAACAACGGTCTCGTACAGAACGACTTTAAATGTTGTTTTGATTTTTCTGCTTGATTTTCGTTTAAAACTACCTTATACCGATGGCCCAAAAATATCCCAGCAAAGATCACTGGATCACTTTATTTATATTAGTTAACAGCATAGGTTCTCTTTCCTCCATTTTCCTGAAGATAACTGTTGCAAAGTTATTGTATTTACTTATATCATTAAATATTTTGACATTCTCCTAACCATCTTTGAATATAAAATTCGATTTAATTTTTGGTTATAGAGAGGGAAATTTCCTAGAAATCCTCGGAATCACACGTATTCAAACATTAGTTTGAGCCAGTTTCGGTTCCGGTCCAAAAAAACCTGCTCTGTTTATGTTTTGGGTCCATCCCAGACAGCATTATTAAATCCATTGGACGTCCATAGGGCAACGTATTTCGGGCAGCCGCATGTCCAATGGATGCCCATAATTTGTCCGATTGCTGTCCAAT